TTTTTATCCCATTATGCAAACTTCACGTTGCAATCCTGAATTGCTGTGGCAATACCACAGTCAGACAAAAGTCGAGTGACTGCACTGAAGCCACCACAATGATGATGCTTATTCAGGCTGTTGTGTACTTGATCTCAGGGCCCATGCCGCGTCACTCTGCTTATAGCAGATTACTACACTGAGCACACATCCATGAACAGTATAGCTAGCCTTCTGGTTCAGCACCTACCTGTGGAAAATAGTCGTCAGCTGAGACTACATCCATCTCACTCACGCTTGTCTTCCTGCGCTTGGTTGGGGTAGGGCTAGGCGAGTCCAAGTCAATGACACCCGGCATGGATCCTGCAAGCAAGCCTGGGAAGGATTTTGCGCTCTCGACCTCCTCCTTCACTTTCACCAGTTCTGTCGGTGCCGTGTCAGTAGATTTGTATTCGTCATTACCCAACGACTCCTCTGCATGTGATTCCCCAAGGAAATCTGGGCATATGCGACCCGAGAAGGTGAGGGAGGGCTTTACCTCGCGACGAGTGGTTTCGCCTGTGAAAGGAGACTTGGCCAGTATGACTGTTGTACGAGGAGGCTTCCTGCGATGTTCGATGAGCATGCTGAGGAGGTCGTGGCTCCATTGCCGCTTGGTGATCCAATCCGAAGGTGGAGTCTTACATCCGTCCTTCATGAGGGCCATGACCTTCTTGCCCTCTGGACTGATGAAATCATCCACGCCATCTGTGTAGGAAACGCACATCACATCGTCGTGGGAAGTACCTGCTGGACGTAAGTACACGCCGTGTCGTAGGTTGACCACCCAGTGAGACCTTTTGAGGCAAGCCATGATATCCTGCTTGGAGGCTTTCTCGGGGAACGCCGGCTGGATCATGTCCATAAAGGTTTTCAAGCTGACATACCCAGTGCCCTTCTTTGGTTCCGCATCCTCGTTTACCCTGTTGTCACATATGATGCGTAATTGATTCCGAACAAACCGAGCTGTAGTCCATCTCTCCACAGTGTGTACCTCGGCCAGTGTTGAGTCTAGGAAGGACTTCAACTTCGACACTGGAAGCGTGGTAGTGTCAGGGTCGTCCAATATATCTGGGCGCTCCACACACCCAGAGTCTCCTCTAAGTTGGTCAAGAGATGCACATAGTCGAAAGGAAGGCTGCATGTCTTTCTCCTTGGAGTTGCGAAGGATATGGTACTCGCTCATGGCCATGGCGATAGCCTGAGCTACCGGCGTCTTACCTTTCTCAGCGAAACCCATCATGACCAAAGTCTTGTTTTGTAAGTCACCAAGTATGTTCACCAGGACGTCATCCAAGAACCACCCGGCAATGTCGTACAAGGTGAGGTAGAAGTCAGTTTGGGGCTTGGAATACACCTGAGAGTTGGAATGGTTGCGAAGACATTCCTTGACGAGGCCTGCACTCCATCCTGACAGAGGTCCATCGGTACGATTCACCTCTATCTCGGCCCATTCAACTTGACGATTCCCTATATTAGTTCTTGGTCCCTCGTTGCGAATGAAGTCAAAGCCCGCCTGGAGGGCATTCGCCGGCTTCTTCTCTTTGTGTTCTTTGGCTTTTGGTTCCAGTCGCCAACATGAAGCAAACCAGTTCGAGATGCGAGTCAGGATGTATTGTATAGCGATGGGTCCAACCTTGTAGCTCGGAGCTAAGTCTACCAAGTAAGCTTTGCCAACAATGTAATCGTCCAGAGTTGACAGACTCATCTTCGCCGTACAGTGGTAGTACTTCAATACAGTGCAGTGTGCGGCCGAGGTGTACTTGATGGCGATCTGCATTTTGTATGGCACCGGCAATGGTTTCTTTGGGCGCAGGAAATCAGGCAAGTCATCGTAACGGTTCTCCACCAAACAGCTCTGCAGTAGTGGTAACTTCACCGCGTCACGATGAATGTTCTCGATGATGTCGAAGAAGAGTTTGGCCTGAGTTTGAGAGCTTGGTTCTTTGAG